TTATTGGATTCCTCCGAGAATCTAATCACATTGAAGCCCCCACCCATGCACCAGGGCCCATCCCACAACCCTCTAACATCCGCCAGTTCCTCCCACAATTCCTTTCTCTTTCTGTAGTCATTCGGTCCATAAACATTTGTGAGAACCCATGTAAAATCACCCTCATGCTGCTTAAACTTCACGGAAACCGAGTACTTTCCGATCAACTCCTCCAGGCCTTCAACCACATCCCTCTTCCACTATCTGTAATTAACGGAGTAGTACACCAAGATTCAAGAGATTGAGTAAAGATTTAAGGAGGTAGTGGGACTTGGTACTTCAAAATTAACAACATTTTATAGGCACTCCATGTTTTACTTTCCAAGGTAAATGTGTCACTCAATGCTAATATCATTGTATTAATGTCATGGGTTTTTTATTTTTTTTAAACACCAAAATTCTGACAAAATTTTAGAGGGTCTTGAAGCACAATGGTGAGGAGAGAGGAGAGGAACTGATGACATGAACCCAATCCTTTTCCATATTTTATTATGATCCAGAAGTCAATATCAGGTAAGCTTAAATAGTTTATAGAGAATATATATATATAAAGACCTCTAGAGTTCAATTCTTCATTGATGGGTCATTTCCCATTTGTTGTAATGGAAGACTGCACCTTTCTAGACTGATACCCTGCTATAATCTGAAGAGACATGCAGATTGGGTTGCACGCACCTTAATCAGGAAGATGTGCAGCCTAGGCAATCCAGGGAAGCTGAAATTGGAGGGGTTGTAAGAAATAGCAAGAGCAATATTTGTCTCAGTTTTTCAGGCGCAATTTTGCTGGGCATCTCCCATAAAGTAGAAATCCTAGCTCTGGTTCAAGGTCTGAGTTAATCTCTTTGCAAGGGTGGAAGGATATAGATGTGGAGGGGGGTTGTCAAACAATTTTGTTTGGATGCATGCTGTTGAGAATATTTCTTGGGTCTAAAGGCCTTTGGTTGGACAAACCCAAGCTTTGGGCAATCAATTGAACAGATTGTTCAAGTGGGTGCCATGGTCTGCTAATGCTATGGCTGACACTTTAGCTAAAGCAGGGGTTAATCAGGATTGTCTTTATTGGGGAAAGCCTGGGTCGGGTTTGGATGTGTAATTTTCTCTCTTTAAATTGTTGTAACTGCCTGTGCCTTTTTCTTTCATGTAAACCTATTATTATCTGTTTGTTCCCTTTTACCATTTCCTGGTAGATAATCTAGTAGTTTGTTTTTCACTCTTCACTGAACAATGACATAAATTGATTTTACAGAACAAGGAGAAGTCGGTATCACTGAAGACAATGGAGGATGGTCAAGTCCTTTTATACTCTGTAAGTTTCTTGTTTTTTTAGCTGCTCTTGGGTTCTCTGTGGTTTTTTTCTACATGCTATGTTGCATGGATGCTTCAAAAGAGATTCTGTGTCCATGCTGGACACTTCAATTTTTAATGTAGGTACTATGTTGGACACCTTGTCCAAGCCATGTCCACCTAATATAGGCTACATATACCTCCATATGGAGTATGCAGATAGGATCCATATTATCGTCTTTGTTTTTCTTATTCAATTTGCTCTGTATATTTTCTTTGTCTTGCCCAGAACTCGGTCAATGCTCGGGAACTCAAAATTTCATACCCATGGCTAGTTTTCAATGAAAAAGTGAAAGTGAACTCAGTGTTCCTTAGAGATTCTACTGGTATATCTGATTCTGTGCTTCTCCTATTTGGAGGAGATATTTGCAGAGAGGGGCTTGTAAGTTTTTCATGCACCTTCTTTCTATGCTTAGTTGCTAAACATTCAAACTGCTTTCAGTTCCGATCCAGTTGGATGTTTCCATGCTCATTTGCTTTTTCCAGTCATGCAAAATTTGATCTGGATTACTCCCTTTCTCTTGACAGGATGGGCACCTAAAAATGTTGGGAGGATATCTAGAGTTCTTCATGAAACCTGCTTTGGCAGAAACTTACACCAATCTAAAGAGAGAGCTTGATGAACTAATCCAAAACAAAGTAGGTGACACATTGCATGAAAACTGGGTAACAAACATGTATTGAATTTGAACAACTATTTATTCACCATGTTCTGTAGCCAAGCCCGACTATCGTTTTTCCTTGGATATTTTCCCATTATGTTCCTTTCTCTAAGATTGGCTTCCTCCTCGCTTTCTTTTAGTAGATTTTTATTTCCAATGTGTTGCAGATCCCAGATTTCTGTTTTCCTTGGATGTTTTTCCATGTCCCTTTCCCAAGATTAGCTTGCTCCCCTTTCTTTATTTTTGAAGATTTTAGATTTTCACTGCATGTATCTTGATCTTTATTTGAATCTTGATGGACAGATTTTGAATCCCAAGATGGACTTAAATGTCCACAGCGATCTCCTATCAGCAGTAAGGTTGCTGGTGTCAGAGGACCGATGTGAGGGTAGGTTTGTCTTTGGCCGTCAGGTCCTAAAACCATCAGAAACTCTAGCAGCATCGATTCCGCCCTGCGTGTTTTCAAGAAGTGGTGGAAGTGGGCCTGGGGGTGATAATTCTAAGAGTCAATTGCAAACATTAGTCACCAGAGCAGGACATGAGGCACCCACTTACAAGACAAAACAAATGAAGAACAACCAGTTCCGAGCCATTGTGGAATTCAATGGTACGCAATTCATGGGACAACCTTGCAACAACAAGAAGCAAGCAGAAAAAGATGCAGCAGCTGAGGCTTTGCAGTGGCTCACTGGCGGAGCTCAGACAGCTCCTGGAGATATAGATCATATGTCTATGTTGCTGAAGAAAAGCAAGAAGAAACATCAGAGAACTTGATATGTGGTACAGAGGTAGAACTGCACTGGAAAGACACGATGAGGTTATCAGAAATATTGCCATTAATTTCACCAGAGTTGCAGAATTGGTGGTTCAGTTATATGGTGGATTTGACTAGTGACCCAGCCACTTCGGATAAGACAACCTGCGATTTTTCAATGTGCAGGTTCTGTGATAGTCAATCATGGCCCTTTCGGGGCTTAATTCTTTATCAATGCGGTAAACATTGGCCATGGAATGTTCTTCACTGGTTAATGAGCCTGGAACGACTATACAGACAAGTAAGCATACAGAACCAGATTATAGATAAACAAAATTTAGCAGTTTGACCTAGAGATCACATTGGTCTGAATTTTTTGCTGCATCTTGTAGTTACTAATTCATTTTTTTCCTGCTTCTGGTTACTCCTTACGAGGAAAATACCTAATTCACTATTACTTGTGTATATTACCAATGTAGTTAGAATTTAAGTATTCCAAGACAAAAACATATTTACAATATTAATGTGAATTGTGGCGTTCTTTCCTTCCATGTCTTCCTTTTTAACTTATTTTTTTTATTGGAAGAATCTATTTACCAGAAAACTGGATCAGTCAAATATGTTAAATTCTAAATTGATCCTGCAGTATATGTGCTGTGTATATTCCATATATGGATGGATCAAGTATCTGGCGTGAAGGATCTTTCTTTCCATTCCTGATTCAACTTCTGTACTGGATGGATGACAGAACAATCTCTGCTAGGCATTCAAGTGGGAATTTGTGAAAAACAGTCTATCTAGTCTGATAGTAAAGCTAGCTTTTTATCCAACTTGTTGATTTTCATTATGATTTATTATCTATTTGCCTGCTACCTTGCAAATTATCCTGGACTGGGGGGTGGGGAGTGGATATTTTTCTCTTTTGGATGTATTTGTTCTTGCGTAACGAATCTCGGGTGTACTTGTTGCAGAGAACAAAATCATTGCACTTGCATTGACTGTATCTGGTCATGGTTTTACATGTTAAATGTGCATGAATTTTCACAAAAATTTGTATTTGGATTTTGTACACTGGCAGAAAGTGATTCACTGAATGGAGTTTGGATATGCTTCCAACAAGCCACTTCAATCAATGTGGGTCAGGTCCATAGCCTGTTGAATTGCTTTTTGGTGAATTGATTAGACACTCGATACTCAATTTTTGAGTATTGAACCTTTATTATTATTATTATTATTATTATTATTATTATTATTATTATTATTATTTTGGGAGAGGAGCTCTCTGAACAAGGCAGTGGGTAGAGCAGCCCCACAGATCAGGATCATGCACCCTGATTCTTTCAATGGACTCGGGAATGAGATCTGAGTTCATGTGATCCAGGCTAGACATGAAATCCGTAAGGCAATTGGCTTTCCGAAATCGACTGTATCTTGGATGATTGAATCCACGGTCCAAGGGGGTTTTACTTGACATTGATGCAATCTAAAACCTGTTTGGCATCACCCTCAATCAAGATGTCATCACAATTCACGACTGACAGATTTGGCCAACTTCAGAGCATTCTTAATCGCAATAGTCTTAGCTGTAAGGACGGAGATTTGCCCAAGGATTGAGTGGTTATATGCAATAGTGCTGCCCTCATAACAGCCCAGCCAGAAGAGGCAATTCCGTTCTCTAAAATAGAAGCATCAAATTTTTGGATTTTCTTTTATACAATACTTTCGTCCTTTACACTCAAAACCCTACAAAACATGGTTGCCCCCTACATCCAACATTATAAACCTGTTTACAGATTTCTTTGAAGAATCCCAATTGTAAACCTATTTTCTTGAGTTTGGAATTTCTCATAGTTTTGGGGTCAAATGGAATGAAGATGAAGAAACGATCTCACGGGAGAGAGAGAGAGAGAGAGAGAGAGAGGAGGGCTGAAAATGTTGCAACTAGAAAATGTTGATGCGAGGGGCAAGGAGAGTGAGCAAGTGAGGAGGAGAAAATGTTGCAACTAGAACACATGTTATAACTTAGAAGAGGAACTGAAAAGAGAGAAAACAAGTAGTATATGGTCTTATGGGCGGGATTTTAAAAAACTAGTTTGGTAATAAAAAATCTTTTTTTATTCCACTCACTATTTTTGCTACTATTTTCAAAACGTGACCAAGATTGTTAAATGACCAAACTTGGTCATTTTTTATGCAAAAAGCCCTATTATATATTCATTATTACATTAAACAATAATTATTTTCATTAATGATAAAAATTTATGACTTGTTAGAAGTAAGACCTTTTTTTTTGTATTCAATCATTTGGATTAAATGGGTTGGTCCATAATGTAATGATTGTAAAAATGATAATCTCAATAAGCATATACCAGTACAAATAACAGTTATAGAGAAATGTAAAAACTTCATAGAAAAAATTAAGTGCATCTCTAATATTATCTATTCATCATATTAAAACATGTGTAACAGATGAAAATTGTTATTATTAATGACTGAAATGACTAAAAATGCAAAAAATAAAAAATAAAAAGATAATCAATGCTTACCAATGACTCATTGACTGAATCAAATAGGTCAATAATTCAACTAATCAGACCATCCTGTTGTTGACCAAGTCAATAATTTTTTATTTGCAACAGTGGCTTGGATTTAAGCAAGCTCAAAAATCTGTATGTAAAATAATTCAAACAATATGATTGTTAAGTTCAATCACAAGTTGTAAATAATGATATAAAATATAAATAAGAAGATTTGAAGTTAGGCCTATATATTGAAAGGCAACAAATCCACCAATATACATGTTGCCTTTATTTGTCTTTGTTATATGGGTTTTGATAAGGGTGCTAAAACCGTCGTGTGCAAGGCACATGAAAATTTTACTAGGTATAATATATTATATATGATATAGGCTCCTTTTTGCATTATTAATAAAATTTATTGGTGACACTCCTCCACTATGAATGTTTGGGGCCGAAAAAACTATATGATATTTTGCGTTATATAATATAAAATATATTGTACATATCAAATATAATGTATTAATGGGCCTAATGCCTAGTTTGGCCTAAACCAGGCCCAAAGCTCATATTTCAGGCCTAGTACTCAGACCAAGCTTGAGGTATAGCTATAGTTGTAAAGTGGGCAGGGCCGCCCATGGGTCAGCACGACCCAACATGACACGGGCCATGACAGGCCTGATTCAATCCCTCGTGAGGTTGGGGCTTGGGTTTTGAGGCCTATGCATCAACATGGCACAACACAAAGAAGTGAATCGTGCCAACACATCCCAAGGCCCAAGCATGGCACCGCCTAAATGGATATAGTCGTTGGGACCCCCCCTCCCCCCAATTGGAGTGCATCTTAGTAAAGTGATAAATACTTATGAAAAAGGCCAAAATACCCCTCCTAACAACTATAAAACAATTAGTTTCAACTTTCAAGTTATTTTAGTCAATTGAATTATTTCCAACTCCTAAAGTATCCTTACCCTCTCTCATTCTCATGACATTAATTCTCATACTCTCATATATTTGCATGATCCCTTATATTTTATTAGTCTCTTACTCCCTAGTCCCTAATTCTCAATTTTATTCAAGTTTCAACAATGAGAAGGCTTACTCAAGTGTCTCAAATTAACAATTTTGGAGGTTTAGAAGATGCATCAATTGAAATCAAGTTGAGACATCATACCAGTGGATTAGTGAGTGGTAGTTAATTTTCATTCTTTTAGGGTTTTAATATTACAATTTTTTTAAAATGGTTGGTTCCTCTCAAAATCCCTTTCCTTGTAATTTGGATGATGTCTAATCACAGTATGGTAGCACTGATATGGGTGTCAGTGGTATTGTTGTTGATGAAGCCACTCCTACTATTAGTGTAGGTGGCAAGAGAAAGACCATTCAAGTTTAGACTATGTTTAATAAAGAAATGTTGAGGGAAAGGAGAAAAAAAATAATTTGCATAAAATGTAAAAGTGATTTTAGTTACAGTAGCAAAGGTGCCACTAACCATTTGGCTAGACTCATGACCAATCATTTAAAAAAATAATAATGAGAATCAAATACAATTTGAGTGTGTGTTTTTTTTTTTTGGTAATTTTTAATATTCACAAGAAAAAATGAGGTAAGAACCAGCAAAACATAGTATATATGTTGAACAATACTTTTTATTAGTTTAAGACCCTAGGCTTGAAAAATTTTTACAACAACATGTAAATCCCTTTAAAAAAGTTTCTAAAAATACTATTAGAGAGATGTGTTATCTTTTTTGCTCATATAAGCAATTTAATTTCTACTTTGTCAAATTTTAATTCTAAAATTACACTTACACTTGATTTTTGGACTTTCAAATATAATATGAGTTATATTTGTGCCATGGTGCATTTTATTTATGAACCATGGCTTTTACAAGAAAATAAGTTTAAGTTTTACAATACTTGAGTGTCCACATACTAACTTGACAATTGTTGAATATTTTAAATACTTTACATACTAATGGTGTTCAAAATAAAGTTATTTCTATTAATTTTAATAATGATTCAACTATAAATATTTTATAATGTTAATTAAAACCATTTTCAAATGAAAAATTATTTCATATTAGATGTGTATGTCACATTTTAAATTTATACGTACGAAAAGCTTTAAATATTATTTCACCCCATATTTCTAAAATAAAAAATTGTCTTGTGTATATTAGAACTTTTGGAACAAGAAAGAAAGAATTTAAATATTTATATCATCAATATGGAATAAAATATAAAAACTTTGTATTAGATGTTAAACATAGGTGAAATTTCACATATACTATGTTATATAGTTGTATTTCATATAAAGACATTGTTACTAATTTTTATAATGAGAAAATGCCCAATGATTTTATAATTGTTGAAGATTGGGAAGTTACAACTTATATAAAAGATTTTTTTTACAACATTTTTATGATGCACCTAATTTATTTTCATGTGTTTATTACTTAATATCTTGTGTTTTAGTTGACCAATTGTATATAACTAGTGAATATTTTACGTAGAAATGATTTAAAATTAAAAAAATGTTATTAATGCATTAATTAAATTTAAAAAATATTTTACCTTTATATTGCTTAGCTCAAATATTAGATCCAAGCTTAAGATTAAAAGAGATGGTGTATATGTTTTACTTGAATCTTATTATGAAAATATGGGAATTGACATTGAAGCAAAAAATGAAATAAAAAACTTATTATTTGAAATGTACAATATATATTAATTACAAACATTAGAAAATAGAAGAACTTGTCCAGGCTTCACTACTAAAATCACTAGCATTGATAGTGGAATTGGGGTGAGCTTTCGGCCTATTCAGTTAAAACCAAAATTTAAAAAACCGAGTTAAAAAATAAAAACCAAACTGAAATTGAATTATAGAAAAACCAAAATAACCGAAACCAAAAGGTTCAGTTCAGTTTTCTGTTAAATCCAAATTTTAATAATATATACTTTATCATATATTATAACATATAATACATATTATATATTATGAAATCAAATTTCATTTTATTATATATTATATATTACATATTATATATAATAATAGAAAGTTCGGTTAATTGAATTTCTAATTCTAAAAAATGAAACTGAAAACTGAATTAACCGAACTGATTTAACTAAAAACCGAAAAAACCAAAACCAAAATTTTCAGTTTGGTTTTTTGGTTTTAACTGAATAGTGCTCACCCCTAAGTGGAATAGACAAACTTTGGTCATTAATAAATAAAAGGCAATAATTAGTTACCACTTCATTAGCAAGTTCATCTACTGAATTTTATTTTTATTTATAAGCTAATTTAACAGATTTTCTCACATCTAGGGATTTATTTACTTTTGATATTTTAACCTATGGAAATAACATAGAAAAAAATTATCTAGTGCTTGCCGTCATGATACATGAACTACTTAGTTCAAATGCTAGGGTATCAAGAGAAGTTGTATAAATGATAAAAGTTTAAGGATATGTATATGCTTGAAGGATTAAGTAGATGTAGATGATAGATTGCAAGACCAAGGAGAGCATGGCACTTTTAATTGATGGTTCACTAGATAATGCAGAACAAAATCAAAGAGATAGAGGAAGTGAAATTTAGAGAAAATATTGAAATCAATATTTTTTTGAATATTCAATAATTGTACAACATTTTAAATCTTAATTGTAAATTTTGTTTTTCAATTTTAGTTAAAAGTTATTTGTGATTTTTTTTTCAATGTCATTGTAAATTTTTTATTTTCAGTTGTATTATGTTATTTTATCCCAATTCCACTGTGATTTTTTTTTCAATTTAATTTCATTACTTCATATATGATCAATTGTATACATTAAATTCAAATGAAATAGTTTTTTTTTTAATTTTCTTTTCAACTTTTTGTTTATACCGTAAGTGTTTTTTGTTATTTATTCAGCAAAAAAAGTAGAAAAAAGTAAACATAAAAGGAGCAAGCCATAGCTTGGTGGGATGTAGGCTGTGCTAAGATTCCCTTTTGAGGGATTTTGGGCCAAGCAATCATGACCCGCAAAGGCCCGCATGCTGGCAAGCACCTCTAGGTATAGCTAGGGATGATCATGGGTTGGACCTGGGTATGGGGGTTTTAATTTAACTTTATAATCAAAATTACAGAAAAAAAAAGAAGCTTAAAAAATTGCAAAAAATATTTGAAAATTTATTGTGTGGGTTTGACTATGATACAATAAAGACATGGTATCAAAAACACAAAAAAATTGTATCCAATCAATCTTTACCATAAAAGTGGCAACCAATCAGGTGGGATTTATCAAAATTTATAGGAGTTTTGATTGGTCAAAGCTGTTTGTAGTGTCATGTTTTTTTGGCAACATAGATTTTTCGTTATTGACATGTTATACATCCCAAGTATATTTAGTAAACCATAAATACATATTTCACTTGCCATTTATATTTAGTATGCGTGTATATGCACAGAATTGCCAAACTGCGCCTAGGGCTTGCTTGGCCCGGGCATGGCCTGCATCTTGTGTGGGTTTGGGCTAACCCGATATCACCGGTGATGAACTCGGATCGAACCTAACCCGATACATGATCACCCCTAGTTGAGGGGTTAGAGAGGGAAATAGAAGCTGCATTTGGTCACAACTCTTTTAACACGAGGTCCGAATCTAGCAGTAGCAAGTAGCAACAACTATTCTAAACGAGCACGACACAAAACTTAAACGGTTAAACCAGATGCTGAGAACATCTCCCTCACTGGTCATAACTCAAAACCCTCCCAGTCCCAACCCCAACTTCTCAAAATTCCTCAACCCTTCATTCTATTTTCATGGTACTCCTCTTCCATCTCGTCGTCAACCTCACTATCCTTGCAGACTCCTCCCCTCCCAGTCCCAGAAGAAAAGGTACCAAAGATTTGCATATTTGGACTTCCTTCCATTTCAATGATCTTTCCAGATCAGCTTCTGTTTCGTCCTCACCTGATCGATAGCCTATCATCCTCTTCCTCCTCCACATCAGAACCTACTTCGCTACTAATGACCCTCTGCTTTAGAGCTTCAAAAGCTCTTGCCGCTAGGCAAAACGCTAGCTTTCTCAAGGTACGCCTCCTCTTCTCCCTTTCTTTTCATTCTTCTTCTTCTTCTTCCCATCACCCTCCCTCCAGCAACAAAACTTTCTCAGAGACCCACTTTCAAGAGCTAATATACAAGACCATCGACAATAATCCATGGGCTTTTACGCACAATTTTTGGGTCTCTGATCAATTCGAACCTGTGATTGTCGACCCAGACTTGTTCCTGCGAGTCTTGAAGTCTATTCGAAGGAGACCCAGAATCGTATTACGGTTCTTTCTGTGGGCGGAGAAGCAGCCTGGTTTCATACGTACTGAGGTTGCATTTTGCTCGGTTTTGGAAATACTGGCAGAAAACAATCTTATGCGCTCAGCTCATTTGGTGATGGAGAGGGTTATCAGTGTTAAATTGCATGGAATTGTGGATATGTTGGTTGGTGGATATGTGAGCTCGGAGGTTTCGGTTAAGCTCCTTGATCTTTTACTTTGGATTTACACGAAAGGATCAATGATTGACCTATGTTTATTAACTTTTGATAAGATGGTGCGACATGGGTTCTCCCCGGATGTGAGCAACTGTAACAGAATCCTCAGGATCCTACGAGATAATGACCTTGTGAACAAAGCGAGAGAGTTTTACAGGGCAATGAGCGACTACGGGATCCAGCCAACTATTGTTACTTATAATACCTTGCTAGACTCTTTCTGTAAAGAGGGGGAAGTGCAAGAAGCGCTTGACCTTCTATCGGAGATGCAGGAGAGAGGATGTGCCCCCAACGATGTCACTTACAATGTGTTGATCAATGGACTGTCAAAGAAAGGAGAGTTAGAGCAAGCCAAGGGGTTGATTGAAGAGATGCTGAGTTCCGGACTGAAGGTCTCAGCCTTCACATACAACCCTTTAATTTGTGGTTACTATGAGAAAGGCAAACTTTTTGAGGCTTTGGGCCTTGAGAATGAAATGGTATATAGGGATGTTTCCCCTACAGTTGCGACCTACAACACAATTATTGATGGGCTCTGCAAGTGGGGAAGAATAGTTGAAGCTAGGAATCGATTCTCTGAGATGTTGAAGAAGAATTTGGTGCCAGATATAATTACCTACAATGCTTTAATTTATGCATATTGCCGGGTAGGAAACTTAGCTGAAGCTTTCCAATTGTTTGATGACCTAAGAAATAGGAACCTAGTTCCTACTGTTGTTACATATAATACCTTGATTGATGGTCTATGCAGATTGGGGGACTTGAAACATGCTCAGCAGCTCAAGGACGAGATGATCAATCAATCAGTTTTTCCTGATGTCTTTACTTATACTATTCTTGTAAATGGCTCCCACAAGATTGGAAATCTACTATTAGCTAAGGAGTTCTTCAATAAAATGCTGGATGAAGGAATCCAACCAGACTCATATGCATACACAACTCGGATAGTGGGTGAACTGAAGCTTGGTGACACATCTAGGGCATTTAGTCTGCAAGAGGAAATGCTAATGAAGGGATTCCCACCAAATATTATAATTTACAATGTTTTGGTAGATGGGAGTTGCAAATTGGGAAATTTAGAAGAAGCATATGGGTTGTTGCAGAAGATGGTTCAAGATGGGCTAGTGCCAGATCATGTGACATATACTTGCATCATTCATGCTTACTCAGAAAGTGGATTTCTCAGGGAAGCCCGAAAGGTATTTTCTGATATGATAAGTCGAGGGTTATCTCCTTCTGTTGTGACCTATACAGTCTTGATTCATGCTTATGCAGGTAAAGGGAGGTTGGATTTGGCATTTAAGTTCTTCAGAGAGATGCAGGAGAAAGGTGTCTTGTCGAATGTGATCACCTACAATGCTCTAATAAATGGCCTGTGCAAAGTGGGACAAATAGAAGAGGCTTACAGGTTATTTGTTCAGATGGAAGAGAAAAGTCTGTTCCCAAATAAATATACCTATACTTTATTGATAAATGAAAACTGCAACCTGGGTAATTGGCGTGAGGCTTTTTTATTGTACAGCCAAATGCTGGAAAGAGGAATTGAGCCTGATTCTTGCACACATAGTGCACTATTGAAGAACCTTAGCAGAGACTGTAAGCACAATGCAGTTCATTACCTTGAGGATATAATTCTAGGCAGTTAAGAGGATGCAAAGGCACACACTTAATGATCCTGATCCTGCAGTTGCATGTCATACAGGATTTCTCAGATGATTGATGATGAGGAGCAACCTCTCTTTATATTGCTCCAACGGTCCAACCATGAAAATGCTCCTGTTATCACAAGATATATTGTTTTAAGAGTTCCTCATGAGGATTTCATTCAAGGCAGCGAGGCTCATGACCTGCCTGCACTGCACCAGGAATGGGACTGGCTAGTTGTACTGATCATGGAGCTCCAGATTGTATTGTAAATTATACATTGTCTGATTTCTTGGGACAAATAATCCACTTACATAGAATCATTTGAAGGCATGAAATCATGTTAGATCCCTTTCTTGATGAAATCCAGGTAGACTGATGAACAGTACTTGGCCAGCTAATCTTTTATGTATTTGAGCGACCAAATTCTATTTGAAGAATAAACTAACAGGTGTAGGGGGATATGAATTTGTAATTGCATCACGATATCTTGACACGCACCTTTTATTTAAGGCAACATTAATATATTTTGAGGAGATTACAAGCAGGTAATGACTTAATGAGTCATGGCAAGGGGATGAATAAATTAAGGTATAACTTAAAGAAATGCCAAGTAGATGACAAGCATGTAATGAGTAGGTGACAAGGGTTGAGGCATTGAGGTGATAAGTAGCTAACAAAAATGACGAGGCAACAAGCAGCTGACCGAAGTGGAGGCAACAAGCAACAGATAAAAGTTACTTGCTTATTAAGATCTCAGTTGAAATCTGTGTATTGTATTATATTCTGAGGACAAAGAAATTTGGATATTCTCTTGTGTTAATGAATATGGTTAGTGATAACCGAATTCTAGAGTGATTCTAGGTCCCATATTTATTCTTCATTTTTTTTCTTTTTATCATCTCTCTCTCTCTTCGAAACTGTAAGGTAAAGTATTTCGGGCCCGTTTAGCAAGTCTTTTTGGGAAGATCTTCTGGTAGCTCTGACAGTCAAAAGACACATTGAGCTTTTGCATGAAGATCTGAGCAGCCCAAAGCTCGTTTGGAAGATACACGTCTTTCCGTGCGTCTTTCTGTGTCTTTCCACGCGAGAATAAAATGCAAAAGACGCGAAAAGCTTCATTTGGAGCTTCCTGAAATCAGCCCAAAATGGGCTTCTCGCATCTTTTTGGCATTCCGGCTTTTGGCGGCTAGATCTTCCATGAACCAAACGGGAATAGACCAAAAATCGGTCTGCCCGGCTTGTAAACAGCCAAAAGACTGCACGGAAAGACGCACCAAATGGGCCCTTCATTAAAGTAAAAAAGCCAACAACTAAGAAGCCCCTGTACAATGAGATATGAACAGAGGATGTACAATTCAGCCCATTACAGCCAGAAATCCCAAAGAGTCAAAAAAAAAAACACTATCTACTCCTTACAAAAAGAAAATCAAACTCAAAAAAGGAGCTAGAATGTCTGCTTCTAAACAAAGGTGAATTGCCAACAATGAGTGAACCATCCCCAGTATTTTCTTAGCACTTCTTCCTTTGAAGCATGCATTCCTTAAAAAATTCTGTTCTTTCTTTCACTCCACATAGTCCATAGTACAGCTGCAGGAAGGATGCTCCTGCCACCTTTCCAGCCCTGCTTAGACCTCCTAGACACCAAGCCTCTATGAATCCCTTCAAATCAACTGGGAAACATGGTTTAACTTAAAAAAAATGCAACACTCTTAACCACACCCAGTGAGTAAAGTCACAATGAATCAGCAAATGGCTAGATGACTCCACATTTCCATTGCATAGAGGGCAAGCCATATCCACCACCTCTAAACCTCTTTTAGCTAAATTCTCTTTGGTTAGAATCTTATCTAGCACTGCTGAGCATACAAAGAAGGCCAGCTTAGAAGGTACAGCTCTAATCCATATCCTGTCACTTGGAAAAGAGGTGACTTCCTCCCTTGATATAACATTGAAAAAAGATTTCACATAGAAAACGCCCGATTTCTCAAAACTCCAACTTCTTTTGTCCTCCCCCATTTCAGCCGTCTTTGAGTCATATAAGAGCTGGAGCAAGCTGATTAAAGATGACACCTCCCAATAGTTTAAATTTCTCCTGAATTGAGGGTTCCAAATGCAATGTCCATTCTGTCTTTCCAAGCAATCAGCTACTGTTGCATTCTTGTTTGTGGCAATTTCGAACAGTTCAGGGAATAACAAAGTCAGTGAAGGGTCCTCTTCACACCAGTGATCCTTCCAAAAGAGAACCCTTCTGCCTTTTCTCACTTTGTATTTTATATTTTATCCATCTCCCTCTCTCTCTAACACTGATCTATACCACTTCAAAGAAGATATTTTGTGCCTCGGAAAAAAGTGGATTGATCTGCACACGGACTAGTAATTCATTGATAGGGAAGTAGATTTTCAAGCTTGGGTCTTAAACCTTATCAATGCTATTAGTTTTACATCATGGATGCTGTTACTCATGTCATAAACACGGTGTTTCCTACTAATTGCACTTGTTTCTCTGTATAGTAGTCTGATTTAGAAATTAGAACTTCAATATTCTTACAGATTTGCTATATGCATGTGTAATGTTAGTACACATTTGTTGTGCTACTTGTTTTTACTTCTGTGTTCTTACTTTACCCAGTAAATTTGTACATTTTTTCTAGGTAATGAACATTAGGCCAATTCACTCCACAATGATAGGACAAAGATGAATGGAATTCTTTGCTTGGTCCATGGCAGTTCATCCAAGTTCTTAGCCTTTAAATTGTACTCTTGACAATTGAGCTCAATACATTCTTCCTGAAGTTTTGCCTTTGGATTGCTCCTAAAAATCCTCTGGTTGTGTATTTGTTGATCTTGTGGTGGTTAATTGCAATGCCAGCCATCCATGAGTACAACTCTTATCATTCGCAGAGAAACTACAACAGTTCCTTGTCTCCGCAGACAGGACATCAAAGGAAGAACAAGAACCAACCTCAGAAGACAGTCTGGAGCATATTCAGAACCAGGTGCCGAGCAGTGCAAATGATGAGGCTGAGCAGAGTGTGTGGGAGTGGAGGTTGGTTATAACAGTTAATAGAGAGGTTAAAGATCGGAGGAAATTGTTAGATACAGCGGTGAATAAATTGAAACTAAAAGCTGAGGTAGCCTTAAAACCATTCTCAGGCAGGAAGGTGATTCTGCTCGTTGGTGATGAAGTAAAACGGGGCTTCACGACTTTCGAATACGAAGAGGGGCTGGTCCAAGTTCAAAATTGGAAGCCACTGTGTAATGAGGTGGAGCATGAGGAAATGATCCTAGGCAGAGGAGGAAACTTAACCAGTTTGTGGATGCCTTTGAGATTAAAGAGATCCCATTGTCACATAGCAGATTTACATGGTCCAACCTCCAAATGAATCCTGTTTGCTCTAAGCTGAACAGATTTCTTTTCTCAAATGATTGGGAAGAGCAATGGGGAAGCTTGACATCTAGAGCCCTTCCGAGGGTGACCTCTGATCATTAGCCTATTGTGATGTAAGGAAAAATTAAGAAATGCAAGGCCTGCTCCATTTAGGTTTGAAAACATGTGGCTAGGTCACCCAGGGTTTATTAGGAAAGTCAAAGAATGGTGGATCGAGAGCAATCCTACAGTTGAGTGGAGTGGAATGAGATTCCACAAGAAGCTCCAATATTTGAAAAATAGAATTAAGGATTGCAACATCCTAGAATTTGGGAGGTTAGAGGATAGGAAATAATCTGTGACTGCACAAATTGAAGAGCTAGACTTGAAGGAAGAGAGGGGATGTCATACAGAAGAGGATAAGGAGCTTAGATGGAGATTGCAGAAACAGTTAGAGGATTATCTGCTCAAGGAGGAAATAAGCTAGAGGCAAAAATCAAGATATAAGTGGTTGTAAGAGGGAGATAGGAATACAAATTTTTTTCATGCTGTGGCAAATGGAAGGAGGAAGAACTTCATCTCAAGTTTGGAAATTGAAGGAGTAACATTATCTAATCAAAATGAGATTGTAGGAGCTTTTGTTGAACATTTTAAATCTATCTTTAGAAGACCCATAAGTAATAGAGTGTGGATTGAGGGACTAGATGGGCCATCTTTGAGCTTAGAGGATAGGTAGTGGTTGGAGAGGATATTTGACTTGGAAGAGGTGAAGGAGGTTGTTTTCTCTATGGATAGGTCAAAGGCACCAGGCCTAGATGGCTTTACAATGGCTTTTTATCAGGATTGCTGGGAGATATTGAAAGAGGGTCTATTGATGGTGTTTGATGAATTCTATAACAAATGAGTGATCAACCCAGTTCTAAACTCCACTTTCATAGCCTTGGTTCCCAAGAGAAAAGAAGCAAACCACCTGAGGGACTTTAGACCAATCAGTCTTGTAAATCGTTTATACAAAATCATAGCAAATGTGTTGTCTCCGAGGATTAGGAAGGTGCTCCCTACCATTGTAGCAAATAATCAAGGAGCTTTTGTAAGGGGAGGGCAAATAACAGATCAAATTCTTATAGCAAATGAAAGGGTTGAGGATTTCAAGATATCAAAGAAAAAGGGGGTTTTGCAAATTGGATCTAGAAAAGGCTTATGATCTAGTAGACTAGTCCTTTCTGTTGGAGGTGATGATTAACTTTGGGTTTGGAGATAGATGGTGCAGTTGGGTGATGGGATGTATTCGGACTTGTCATTATTCTATTTTGGTGAATGGGATAGTAGAGGACTTTTTTCGGCGTTGAGAGGAATCAGACAAGGAGACCCTCTTTCTCCTTTTCTGTTTACCCTGGTTGCAAAAGTGTTGGGGAGGCTAATTTC